TAATTTTTGTTCTTTGTGTTTTGCACATGAAAGCTGCTCTCTCAGTATCCAAAACATTTTTTAAAAAATAGAATGGCGTTTTTGTTTTAATTGTATATGAAGGGGTAGTTTAAATTCATATGAAACAACTAGAAAGAATAATAAAAAATAAAAATAACCTTGTGGGTTGTGTAGCCGGGCCAGTGGGAGGGTCTGCGGGCCGGCAGTGTGAGATCTCGTGTGTGTGAGAAAAAAGGGAAAGCAGCTCAGTTTCTGTTGTCTGCTTTAGAGATTACAGTATTTTTTAGGATTACCTCAAGTTGCTGGTTTGTCTACAACTAAAATAATATATGGTGTAAGACAACTTGTTTAAGCTCATACACAATAACACATACAAAGTTATCTTCCTTATAAATAGCAGTGACTTGGGTTTTATTTTTTATCACTTATTTTATTTCCAGTTGTGGTTCTTAATAAATAGGCCATATTATGATTTTGGGGTTTTTCCTGTGCTTTTGTGAGTTATATAGATTTTTTTGTGCATGTAAAACATATGAATAGTGACAAAGTCCAGGCCAAAGTGTCTCCCACAGAAAACACTGCTCCTGTGCTGCCTGACAGTGTTTGTATTCAGCCTTTTCTTCCATTTCTCTATGATAAGGCGCCACCTATAGGCCAGGTGACAGTGAAACTGAAACTTAGTGAATCTACCTTGCTGTCCACCATTGCTGTTGTCTCAATAACACAACTCTGGTAACACGAAGATGATGAAGGAACGAGCAAAGTAAGCAGATTCCTCTGTTGTTGACTGCAAACAACAAACCCAAAGGTCTTCATTGACTCCCACCATAGGCCATAGGCCCACCGTAGTTACTTCATTTCAGTGGAAATGTTACTGAAATGTCTTCACAACGATGGAAAAACTGGAGTGTGTTTGTGCATTGTCCTGCAGACTACTGTATTAATGAGGGCCGTAACGGTTCAAGCTCAAGGATGGATCAATACTGGCAGTCCGTGATCCGACTTCAAACTTGGACGCTGTAAGTTTTACTGTTTCTCAGTGTGTTAAACTTGGTTCTAGCATGTTGCACAGGGGTTGAGCACGTGGGGGACGAATAAACCGTGTGAACATTAAACCTCATTTGCAGCCAACTAAATAACGAGCAGTAGGTTGGATGCCAGTAATTGTTTTTTCATGTTGCTTTTTGTGCAACATAATGCTGCAGCACAAATGTTAGTTAGTTAGTTGAAAAAGAAATAAACTTCATTCAGGAATTAATTTGGCAACGTTGTGTAACTTTGATGAGCATCCAGCAGCTACGTTAGCATGCTCATTGCTAAAAACAAACAGAAATACAGTGGGTGGGGCCTGCTCAGGCTTGTGGGAGTTGACCAATCATAGCAGACTGGGTTACTCTGGAGGAGGAGCAGGAGCTAGAGGTAGTGTCTCAGACAGACAGTGAATAGAGGTGCTGCTTTAGATGGCTGATTAATCGAGTCAATTACCCGGCATTTTGAGATAATTGGCATCAGCCAATGCCTGCGTCTGCCAGGCCAATGAACCAAAAATGTCTACGACACATCTGCAGGGCAGCCATGTCAGTGCGGCTGCTGTGTTAGAGCTCCACTTCGTTAATTATGTCAACATATACACATATACATCAACATACACCCACATTAACGCTGCTGCCGATATATCCACTTAATATGTAACTGAATTTTGATTCCTGTGTTTTTTTTCCAGTCACTAGATACACTGTCGTTATTTTATGTAGTCGATTGGGACTATATGTCTTTACCTTAAAGCGGCTTCTGTCTCTCCTTGACTGGGTTTGTGTTTCAGGAGGCTTTTTGGATCCAATAGTACCTAGCTGTTATTCAGGATGCTGTAGTTTTGCATCCAGAACCTGAGCAGAACAGGAAACACTACTCTACTGGACAGAACATCTGTGGTATTAACAGCATCCTATTCATGTATTATGTTGGGTAGATGAGACAAACGGGAGGTGGCAATACTAAAAGTCGGTGTTTCTCTTGGTCTGAGTCTCTGTCTGACATTCCAGAGTCACTCCGGTATTTACAAAAGCAGCACGGCCAACAGCTCAGCCGGTGTGCCTTCTGTCTGACAAGATTCATAGACAGGGTATGCGGAACGGCCTAGACTTGGACAGCAGGCCAGGACATGGCCTTTCTCAAAGCCCACCAGGCTTTAGGTGCAGCAGGCATTATCTGAGATCCAGGCCTGTAGACCTTTAAGTGATCACTCTGAGGATTGATGGTTGTTTTGCAACTTGTACTTGGTATTCATACAGCGTCTTATCATAAGATATTTGTTAGCTTTTAGTCAAATGGAAGCGTTGAAAGAAAGGTCTTTTTAAAAACGTACTTTTATCTCACTGCCAATACAGTGCTCTCCTATGAATAGCAAGCAGAGGGATGTTGTATCTGGAATATGGAAAATATTCACAGTTCATGACTAAGCTATACAAATATTTAGCCTTTGCTATTGCAAGAAAACGCAGAACTTAGGAGACACAATGCTGCACTCATGATTCATCAGTCCAGTGCTGAAACAGTTAGTCAATCAATAGAAAAAAATCAATCGCTTAAGGCATTTATCAAGCAGTTTTGGCAAACAATCTCAACGTGAGGATGTGCTGCTTTTCTATGTAACATTTTTAGGGTAGAATTCTGATGGAGAAATTCAACATCCCTTTTTCAAACAAGTTTAAAACAATACTGAAATTGTGAAACTGTGGTTCAAAACAGAAAACCTTTTGCTCTACAACCAAAAAAGATTCTGCTAAGAACTCAATTTCAACTTTCTCTCTGCTGGTTGTTCATCACAGTTAAACATCTTGTCTGCTTTTACTGTTGTCAGGGTGAAATTATTGTTGTGTGTAAATGGACTGTGATTTTCAAATCAATAAGCACTTCACTAACAAAGACCCCGGCAATAAAGATATGGATTCAGAATAGTTTATTGCGTATAATGGATGGAGGAGAGCAAAGGTGATGTAGGAAGGGATGGATTCAGGGTCCTGAGGGAGGAATCAAGGATGGAGGTCGAGGGATGAAGGGATAAGAGGAAGAAGGATGAGAGGAGAAATCAGGGTTGTGGATGGATGGATGGATGGATGGATGGATGGATGGATGGATGGATGGAGGATTACAAAGATGGACCGGTGTGAGGTGGTGGCAATAAGACAAGGGAGTCGAGACTCTGGGTGGGGGAGCCGTCTCTTTGTGAACTCTAATTTCGGATCAAGCCTCAGTAGTTCATGGATTCAAACAAAAAAAAGAGATGGGAAAAAAGGGGGGTTGGGAGGGGTGAACACTGAGTCAAAGGGGAAGTGAACAGATAAAGTGTGCTTAAGTACTTGTGCCGGAAATGAGTTCAAGGCGTGGTCTTTGTTCCCGAACCTAGTTATTATAAAACTTAATTTAAAACTACTTGAACATACAATGATAAAAATAGCAGCCAGTAACTCCACTATGATGGATTACACAGTACTTTATGTCATGTTCAGAATAATGATTCTTAATGACAGTATATGCCTACCTCAGCAGTGGTTGTCAAGATCACATTTATCATCATGGAAAAAGGATAATGGGTCTCTAATTATCAGAAATGTGTGATGTGTAGTCATATGTGCATTTGTACAGAACAACCTTTGCTTTCTTATTTTCCAAACTCCTTTGCCCAGAACCACATTTTTTTCGTATGTGGAAATAACCTGGTCTGTAAAATATCCACTGTGTCCTTGTCCAGAGAAAATCTCTCTCTGTTTCTCTGCAGGGCATGTTATAGCAGTATACCTCTGTCTGAAATCAAAGGACCAATTGTTTCAAACGTTAATATGAATTTCGAGTGGTAAATGTGTCTTCATAAACTGCATATGTGCAGTACTAAAAGGATATTGTGCTCGAGAGGCGTAGCAACTATAGGGGGCACATTAATACTCATTAATATAAATGATTAGTCAACAAAAGTAATGGACAGATATACTTTCTGGGTGTATACATATATAGGTATGTATGTATTCAAGTGTTCATAAATAGCTATATATTGTTTTATTTTATTGTCATGCTATATTCAATTTAAATATATGGTCTGTGTATGTAACATGAAGGGGGGACTGACATTTAATTCTGCAACCTTGTGTTGTAAAATGACAATAAATTAACCCTGATTAATAGATTAAAATAATGCTTATAGAAGTTGCAGTCCTACTCTACTCTTAAAAAAAAAAAAGAAATCTGTTTGAATTTTACACTTGGCAAGTAATAATGGCCTCTGGCACTTGACCTTGTCCATCTATCTAACCTTGACCGGCTTATCTGCTTCACAACAACCCTTTCACTCACCACAATTACTCTAACTCATAGAGGCTACAGACTCAGACAGCGGGTGACAAAGTGGCTAGGACAGTTAACAGTTTGCATGTGTCATCCTCCATCTGTCACTGTAGTCCTCCCTCAGCCAGACAACACAGAAAAGAGAGGCAGAGAGTGAGGGATGTTTTGTGAGGTGGATGGATTGTATTAGCTTGTCAGAGGGAAGCGGTGCACTCTGATAGCAGCAGGAGCTTGTGAAAGTCTCAGACAAGATTTAAACAAACAGAAACGCAGACATTGCCCTGACTGGCCCGAGATGCAGCGGCAAGCGTCCTGACAGAATAAGGCCATGAGAGATCACACACTGCCATCTCCAGATTGGCCCTAGAAGTATTTCTACCACTTCCACAACCATTTGGGATTCTTCTATCAGATCCAGTGAATGCATAAATCATTTCCCAGAGTCAGGGGCAATGAAATGCTGGCGTCACTCTTCTATTTCTTATTCCAATGTGGGACATTCAGCGGTCAGTGCATAATCTCTAGAGTTAGATCACTGAGATGTCAGATTGATTCATATGAGAAAAGTGCAGAAGAATTTATTGCAATTTAATCTCAGCTCTGCCTTTCCAACTTTCCTGTCTCCGTCCTGTTTATTCTTCTTACACACATTAACAACCATGTAGCAGTGAGACAAACACTCTGAACTCTTTATTTGTAAAATATTTGTACAATAGTTTAGATGATATAAATCTTAATATAGCATACATGAGGTTAGGTAGTATCCAAACTGGTGTAAGCTGCCACAAAATAGATTTCTTTGCAATAAAAAAATAGTACAAATAAATTAACACTGTCATGAAAAGATACCTTTATGTTTCTATTGGTGGCGTTTGAGTAGCAGTTCACAGTTTATCCTTCTCATTTATTTGCCACTACATCACCATTAACAGCAAAAGCATAAATTCTCCGAGAGGTCTGACGGCCACTCCTCCATGCTTCTGTGCTTGCCTGACATGCAGTCGCAGGTCGACTCTTGGGGGAGTTTTCCCTTTGGAAATACCCCCACCTTCAGGCCGTGCTCTGTTTCCACGGGCTGACAGCTTGTCTCGGTGGCATCAGCTCCTGCTGGAAACATCAGAACAAAAAAAAGATAATTTAAATTCAGAACTCAGCAGCTCACTCAGACTCAGCTTCTCCCCAATAAAATACTGTATTGTGCTTCTTCTCAAGGCTTTTCTTATAACATAATTTATTTATGGAGCTACAGAAACAGAGTGAAGCAGTGTTTGTGATCTTGTGAGTCATATCACCAGGTTTTCTAAGTTTTGCTGTGGTAAGAGCTGTATGTCCGTGCGTCTCTCTCTCTCTCTGTGTGTGTGTGTGTGTGTGTGTGTGTGTGTGTGTGTGTGTGTGTGTGTGTGTGTGTGTGTGTGTTTGCTCATATACTTCTGTTATTATGAAGACCAGTGTTCAGCTTTAGACCTAAGAGTGAGGACACTTTTGCCAGTACTTGTTTTCAAAAGAAATATACTTCTGTATCAACATCAGAGAAACTCATCAAATAAATGATTCATTTAATTTTATTATACTCTTTAATCAATTTTTATTTTTGTGTAGCATAAAGGGAACGATACTTGTACTATTTCATTCTACAACCCTGCCTTGTAAATGACAATAAAACAACCTTGAATCCTTGAACATTTATCCTTACATTATGAAAGTATCCAAATGAAAAAACCGACCGCCCCCCTCGCAAGCCATTACTCCAACAAAGACGAACACACAGTGCCTGCCTACTGCTGGCGGACGAGGAGCACGGCGTATCACTGTCATTGTTAATCGATCCAACTACCTCAGTTCAACCAGTTAATTACCTGTACCTCAGTTCTCGCCATCGTTAAAAACCCACACTGATCTGATCGGACCTGTTGCTTTATACAACATCTTTTTGTGTGTAGCTTTTTCTATCCTGGTGTTTCCCTTCTTGTTTTGTTTAGCAGTGCAAACTGTTTCTGGTGGTCGTGCGGTATAGTTTTAGCAATATCTACCTGACCGGCTAGTTGAAGGCACCAATCATAAGCAATGAGTGCAGGGGCAGAGTGTGCACAGGTAGATAGTAGACAGGCAGGTCTACTATCTTTTGGTGCAAATATAATGATTTGATGGGCTTATTACAGACCAGTGAGATACCTTTTTTCCCCAGAGCATTTGATTTATTCATTGCCAATGGGATGTAAAGACGATTTCAACCAATATAACAAAAACTGCCTACCCTAGCTTTAACCCCTTTAGTCCCCTACTGACTGCCCCATTCTTCAATCAAAAGGCAATTGGTGGTGCAACACAAACACAAGATAAAACACATCATGTAAATGCATAATAGAAATTAGAGAGTAGACACGTTAAACTTAAGTTAATAAATTATTCAATTACTGTAATGTATAAAATCATAAAATATATATATATATATATATATATATATATATATATATTGCAGTGTATTGTGTATTTAACGATTCCTTTTGATCAAGTACAGATGTGAAAACTACAGGTGGCAGTTATATTTTGCCCAGAGCTGCAGAAACCAGTACAGGAATACTACCTGACCTCAAGTTTGCTGTGTACCAATTAGTTTGTGGTAATTTAATTAAATACACAATTATTTTGGAATGTGGCACCATGACAGCACAATATAAACCGATTTTGACACAGAACCCATTATCATTTCAGTCCATACAATACCCCACACACACACAGCTGGGGCTTTGTGGTCCCCAGGGGCCAAATGTGTAATCGTATTGTGATTATGATTGATTCCTTTGTGCATATTCATCGCCATCACGTAAGCTAATGGTGATTGCTGCATCTCCAAACTGGGGGTTTGCTGACCGCCGTCTACTGTAGGTGATGCACTGACGGTGGATACGCAGCTCATACAACGCTCTTCAAAAAACCCAAACTGAATTTAAAAAAAATCCCCCAAAAAATTTTCTTGTGTGTAATCATTGATGACTATCAACCACATTAGATGAACTAAAAACAAAAGGGGAGTTTGATGGAAGTCATGGGGTTAAGGTAGGATTAGGGTTAGGGTAGGCGTTATGTCAGTGAGGGTCTTCACAAGCATATTAGTGTAAACGTGTGTGTGTGTGTGTGTGTGTGTGTGTGTGTGTGTGTGTGTGTGTGTGTGTGTGTGTGTGTGTGTGTGGCTGGGTTGCTTAGCACCAAATCTGTTGTGCTAACCATTTTAACATTGAACCTGCTCTGGGTGACTAATTCAAATGATTCAGGCCTTTAAAATGTCAACAGCATCAGTGCTTTTGAAAGACTTTGAAAGTGAAAAGAAAGGACTGTGTTAAACAGACAAGCTATACACTTACAGCTAATTAAATGCTTGTCTCACTATAAAAACGAAAGCTTAAGCACATGCACTTTTTTCAACCCATTTCTCTGGCTGCCAGCCTCAACCTGAAGCTGCAGCCTTGAAAGCGCGTCTCTTCCCTGCAGCATAATGTGGAGTTTTTATGTGCAGCGGTGCTTATGTTTATATGGACGTCACAAATATACCAAGAGTTTGCCTCACTCCATTCTGGCACGTGGCCAGAGGGTTTTTATGATTAAAACCAGATTGTGCTTGCCCAACTCGGAGAGGCCAGAAAAATAGATTGCAGTTACGCATACTCTGCACAAGAGGGAAGTACAGAAACATGCATGTCTGTCTCTGCAGCATCTGCAAAGGTGGAATTTTTAGGGGGGGAATACTCAACTGTATGTACTTGATTTTCCCCTCTGCTGGAGGGACTTTTTCACAGATGTCATCTTGTTATTAAGTCTGCTTCTAGTTCACAGTCAGTAATGATACATCTGACTGTGGCACAAGAAGAAAGGTTTAATTCCTCCTCATCAACCCCTTGCTGTAAATTATGCCAATTCTGAGTCAGAGCTATGATCATCCTGTAAATATAATTACGACTCTTTTGTGTCACATGATTGGAGTCAAGCGGCTGTGGGGTCTTCCTTAGCCAGAAACATCTGGGCTCCTGCCAACTCTCAGTTCCCTCGAAGTGGTGACTAAGTTACACTGCAAAAAGAAGTCTGTCTTAAGTGTTTATTCTCTTGTCTGACTTCAGATTCAACTGAATAAAGTGAGAAAAGACTGAGCTGCTTGTCTAGAACTCACCTTATTTGGCGAATTTTGTTTTAAAATAATTAACAACCAATGGTTGATCTTGTTTGGCAATGTAAGAATTTGACTTCAGCAAGTGAAATGTTCTCACCCTGCTAGCTGATTCTGACCACATGTGTAACCAAACTGAAGAATCAACACTCGTTTCTCATTTCGCTTGCCAAGAAACACACATTTTGCAGTGTAGTGAAGACTGGGAAATCATGTGACATCAACAAAAGCAGACACATTATGCCTCCTCCGCTGCCGCCCACACACAGACATCACACATACACACACACACACACACACACACACACACACACATCAAACACACACATAAACCCTTTTTTGTAGTAGGGAGGAACACTGGAATTCATTTACTGACTTTGAAAACTACACTGCCAGTAAACACAGCAAACGTCATCAGCTGTGAGCACTGACGGAAACATCAACACAGTAAAAGGAGAAAAAAAAGTCCTCTTGTATCTGAACTCACCATGAGTTGTTCCCCTGCCTGGTCCCACTCTGACCTCCACTCGCTGCAGCAGGGTCTCATGTTTCAGGCCCCCATGGCACTGGGGCAGACCACCCCCCTCCTTCACACCATGCTGGTGTTCTGGCGGCCTCTCCCGGGGTAGGCGGGGGTCCTCACAGGCTTGGGAGGCAGGTACGGGCCCTTCCCACATCGCCCGTTTTGAGGGTACAGAGGAGGCTTCTGAGTTCTTGAATTGGTGGTACTGTTACCAATAATGACCTTAGGGTCTAGGGTCTGTTGGTGGGGCTCGGGGTGAGTTTGGCCAGTGTGGTTGGGGTCTCTGGGGGGATACAGGTGAGGCGGGTGGCCGTTCAGACCTGGCCGTTCGTGGCTGATGTCCTTGATGTGGTTAGGTGGAGTGAAGCGGCTGGTTTTGACAACCGACGCCATATGAACAGGGGAGGGAGAGTTAGTTCTTAAGATGATGCGGTCTTCATCGATGTGTTGTGACACCTGGACTGGAACGGGCTTGTGATTGGTCAGCGGGGCCAACCTGAGGTCAACTGGATGAACTGAGCCATGAAAGTTACTGGATGAGCCCTGAGTGATGCAAGGCGTCTCCTCATTGAGGTCGATACTGGCTGTGAGACGATCAATCTGCTCGACCACCTGAATAAAAATAAAGAAGTGGTGGAAAGAAATTAAACTACTAAAGTACAGTATTTGTACTTTATTATCTTTCCATTTAATTCCACTTTATACTTCTACTCCACAACAGTTCAGAGATATATTGTACTTTTACTTACTACATGTCTCTGTAGTCATCAGTTTCTTTTCAGATTAAGATTTTACATTAAAAATAGATTTGATACGCTTGTAAAATACAGCGTATTGTTAAAATTTAAACCAATGCTTCTGAATTTGCTTTGGTTTAGCTGTTGCCCCATTTCAGAATATCAATGAATGTTAACAGAACCACCAAAGAGACCAATCTTAACTTCTCAGGTGGTTTCTTATAATAGAATAGAGGCAAATCTCCCTACTATTTGACAAAATATTATAAAACAACAAAAAGAAAGAAAGTGAATACAGTTTTGGTGTCCTCAACTAGCTATAACAGACACGTGCTGCTTATTCATATTAACAATCTAATGATGTCATGTATGATTATATAATAGTAACAGTGGCCATTTTTAATCAATGAGTACTTTCATTTTTTAACATTTTAGTACATTTAGTTTATAGAACATCTGTACTCTAATGTAAGTAAGATTTAAATGCCGGACTTTTCATTGCAATGGGGCATTTTTACATTATAATATTAAAAGGCTATATGTACTAAAGTAAAGGATCTGAGTACTTACTGTATTTATAACCACAAGTGGGTCTGTAACTAATAATAATAAGAAGACGAAACTTTATTTATATCGCGCTTTTCTTAACAATGTTACAAAGTGCTGTACAAAGCTAAACTGTGCTAAAACTGCACCAATACTCCAGAATTCAGCCATCATTCAAATGAAAGCTGGTTGATTTAATGTCCTGTTTCCAACTGTCTCAATTCGCGATCATGCAGCTTTTTTATTTGTTGCTTACAATACAATGCCAGATGCATTCACTCATGAATCAATGCTGTTTTACAGCTGCATGCAAAATGGATACTGTAAGAGCAAGGCATAATTTAGTAACAGTCTCAAGCCAGCCTTTTTAATGTGCTCACCGGAACGCTGCCAATTTCGGCAGGCGTTCTGCAAAAGGTCAGTGCAAATTGTTCTCAATCACCGCTTCGGTAAGAGATGATGAGTGAGTCACAAACAATGCACTCAGCATGCACACACACACACATACTGATATGCTCTTGTGAACATGTACCCACACATACACGACCCGTGTCAAACTGATCTGCACTTCTCGTCAGCATCCGAGTTTTGTGTTAATCGTTTTAAATGTCACAATATACAGGGGAGAATCGATTGAAGGCTGGGACGTCTGCACCTGCCACTAACCTTTATGTTGGTACACCTGATGTACACATAAAGAAAGACATCTATAATAATAGACCCTCCTACCTCTTTCATCTCCACATGAACTTGCTTCAAGCCCCCCAACACATCCTCCAGATCTGTCACCACTTGTCTGATTTGATCCCTCACCAAATCCTGTCTCCTCTTCTGTTTCACTACCTCCGAACCCTGCCGCTGGTGGTCGTTGGTTGTCGATTTTAACGGCTCTGAACTGGTGATGGTGATGCACAGCCCCTTCTGTCTGCTTTGGTTCAGGTGTTTTTGTGGGACTTCAGTAGGGAAGAAACCTTTGTGATCGCCACTGCGTCCATTACAGCCCTCCTCTGATCCACCCTTCAGTCTGGCCCGGTCCTGATGGCTATCTCTTTCCTCCCCTCCCTCAAAGAACACAGCCATTGGTCCACAGTGGCCATTTGGCTTATGTAAATGGTGATTGTGTGGCTCCAAATGATAGTTCTCAGAGGTGCTTCCAGAACCTTCCTCCTCTTCATCTACGGAGACATACCTGACAGTCCTCCTGTGCCTGTACCCTTGACCTTTGACCTGAAGATGGGGGAGAGGATGTGGTATCCCGGCATTGAAGGGGTGTGCCCTGGTGTCGCTGCGTACCACACAGCCACACTGTTCCCTGACAGACGGGTAGTGTCTCACCCCAGGCTCCAGCGAGTAGTTCCACTGGGCAGGGTTCAACTCCCAGGGGCAAACTTGGCTCAAGTCAGCTGACTGGCTGTAAGGGCCCGGCCCTGCGAACACAGGCCTCCTCTGTGGGCTACGATGACCGCTTCTCTCTCCTCTGTCCACTATGAAAGCTCTCCCTGCTACGTCTTTAACCCGAGGAGCCTGTATGTCTCTCCTGCAGTCCAGAGATGGGTGGTCTGTCTGTCTGGCCGATGCTGGTTGGTATCCCGGCCCACCGTGATGGCCGTACGCTGGCTGCTCATAGTGGACGCAGTGCTGGCAGGAGCAGGGGGTGGAGGTGTTGATGTGCTGAAGAAATCGGTGGTGTCCCGCTGTTTGTGCGCCTTCTGTGTACATGTCCAAAGAAGTCCAGAGGCTTGTGTGGAAAACGCCTTAGAAAACAACTGGTTTCCTCCCGTCACTGCTCTCTTTAGCCCAGTCATTCACTCGCTCTGTTTTCCTCATCTGCGTCTTCCCACAAGAAAACTTTTCTTCAGCTCTTTTTTTTCCTCTCTACTCAAGACTTCTCCCTCCCCTTCCTTCCTGTCTGTTGTTTCCTTTCTTCTTCTCTCCTGTAGTTGTTAATCTCTGCGCCTGTTCTTTTCTTTCCCTGGACCCTCTTTCTCCTACTTCTTTCTCCTACCTAACTTTTTCTCTTCTCCTTCTTCTTCCTCACCCTGTAGCCCTCTCTCCTACACGGGGCCCCACTCCACCTCCCTCCCTCTGTCTCTCGTACTACCTCTCCCGCCTAGTTGTTCTGTCTCATTTGCTGCTGCAGGCTTCTAGTCTCTCGCTCTCTCTCTCTCTCTCTCGCTCTCTCTCTCTCTCTCTCTGGCTGTGTATTTCCCGTTTCCTCCCCTCCCCTCTCCCGCTCTCCTCTCTTTCTCCACCTCTTACTCCGTCTCTTGCCTCTGGTATATTCTCTCACATAGTCGGCTGTACCTGAATTTATGAATTCCTTCTTTTCCTTCCACCTAAAATCCAGCCGCCTTGTGAGGCTCCTCCGGTAAAGGACTCCATATGGGTTTCTGTCAGTCAGAGAGTGCGTGAAAGAGTCCCAGCTCCGGTGCTGAGCTCATTAGCCCAACTAAAGCCTATGCACTCTGCAATTAAACGCTGCCTGGGATTCTTTGGCCGAAGACTGAGTGAAGAGGGGAGGGGAGGGGAGGAGAGAAGCACTGGGGGAGGTGGGGTTTCTAACATACACAGACGAGGCAGCAGACAGCCCTCTGAGTCAAGGAGACAGAGCCACTGCCTTTATACAAGGGGAACATTTTTTCACCATTCTCTATCTCCTTTTTTTTTGTTTTTCTACCTCTCTTCCCACCAATTCCTTCCCCTCTTTGTCCTTTGCCACTCCTGTCACTCCCACTCTATCATTGTCTCGGTTCAAATGATTTCACCTCAATAGTTGAGAAAAACTTCACTTTGCTGAGGCAAGCACAGACATTATAGTAGCACTGTACAGAAAAGTAAGCAGTCTTCTCCCTCTCAAGTGCATACAATAGTGTTTAAATGCCACTTAAATAGCTCACTGTCAGAAAAGTCAAACCATGTGTTCAAGCCATGTTAAATCCACCATGCTTTTCATTATAAATCAATCTCTGCTCACTAGATAATCATAATCTTCACATAAATGTAACAAAAACTCCTTCATACAAAATTAGAAGAGCAGGATGAGCAATCAGGATCTCTTTCTTGCTCCAGAATAGCATAACGCGCCAGTGTTGTGGCTCCTAATCCACAGTGACTGTGGACAGCTAGCCGTTTATTTTCAAAGAAAATAACTGGAGCTTTGAAAACAATGGGTTGTAAAAAAAAGAAAGAAAAACAGCAGAGGAGGATGAAGGAGATTCATACATCCCAGCAGGAGGATGAGCAGTCCGGTCCCAGCTGCTAAGAAAGATTGTTGTTGCAGATGAAACACAGCTGGAGTGACTTTACCTTAACATATATATAATCTCATAGGAGGGAGAGGATATGCAAATCTGTAAGCACATTCGCATTCACTTTGAATTCAAGCAAAGTTGAAAATAACTTTGAACAAGTTAAAGCTGTGGTAGACAGTTTACACAATGCTAAACCTCTATTTCTGCTACCCTGTGGCAGCAAACCCTCACAAACCCACAAGTTGAATGGCAGCAGAGGGAGACTGTTCCCCTGCCAAACCTCATGCCTCCTAGGGCCTGCTCTCCACGGCATGAGCTGCGCCAAGGCCCCGGTCTTTTTTGCCGCGACCGCAGCTCGTCTTCTCACAGACGAACATCCAGCTCTCGCCCTGGGCCTCAGAGGCAGCTGCGCCATCGATGCCTCCAACAGCAGGATGAGAGGAGGGTCTAGTCATCCTTGTGGACTGCCTCAGCAGCAGTCTGCTTCAGTGGTGAGGGGCAAGACACAGTGGAGGACCTGATTTCTCCGGGAGTTGGGTGCCATTGGATTGGACTGTGACAAGACCTCTAATAACACAGAAAAGGAAATTGGACACCAACACAAACACAGATCCACACCCCTTCAAAAGTTATTCCCCATGTATATCATCAGGCCTCTTTATCATTTGTAGATAAGCCACGGCATCTAACATTATGAGCCCAAAGCTGCATGTTCACACACGTGTTTTGTGCAATTTGCAAAGGAGGTATTGGAAGTGAATCACAAGTTCCAGGATTTTTTACCATTGAATCAGACTTTTACTATCTGCAGGTACGTGCACGCACATCTGTATTTGTAGAACATCCAAAAGGAACGTCCTCTCTCTGAAATTGCGTGATCGGCCAAAGTCTCCCATCCGGGCTAGATTTTCTAAAGCCAAGGAAGAGGAGGTATAGAAGTGTAGTTTTTCTCTGAGACCGCTTGAATTATATGCTGCAAGGTTATTACAGCATTTTTGCCCAATCAAGCCAAAAAAAACTGCCTACCGCAGCTTTAAGTTAGAATTTCTCACTGAAATTGAGTAGCTGTTTCATTAGTGGTGGGATATAGATAAAATCCTCTATAGTGATATTGATTTATATTGTGATAATAGCATTTTCTGTTAATGGATTAAACCTACAATAACAGATTTTTTTGGCCAACGTGCGGTGAAGTAAACTAATATATTTATCGACTATAAACCGTATGACAGAATCTCTGATAGTTGACAAATTTATATCGCCTCACGGACTACAGTATAAGACAACCTCTAATGTTCAATAATCTGATGTTACAAGCACAGTCTCAGTACATCTTGACAGATGCTACACGCATTATGCTGTCCCTAAATAAGCAAAGAATCTGAAACTGAGCCTATTGTAAAATGGCCCGGGGGATGAGCCACCCGCATGCAAACAGTCAGTCAGCTGGGAAAGAAGAGCAATCTGGCTCTACTTTATTTATTTATTTTCAGTCAGCTGTGTCCCGTGTCAAAACACTCCTTTCTGCTCTTTTTAAAATTCTATTGACTGAATAAAAATATTGGCAAAGTCACCTGTTTCCACCTAAGTAGGACATTATGAGATATATTTTTCACCCCTGAATATAAGTACTGCACTCCAGCTACCTATCTATCTCATACATATGCATATATACAACCCAGACAGAAAGATGAGATAAGAGGAGACAGAGCAACACCTCAACCTGTCATCTTAATCTCAGTGTTTCTCAGTAGGGCTTCCTCAGGCAGATTCTTGTCTACGAGCTACAAAAGGAATATCAAAGGTTGTAGTTGTCATACTGTCTGCACCCATACATATAGTTGGGTGTAGTATGTGTGTGTGTTGCCTCAGACGGTTCCCAGCTTGTGCAGCTCTTACATCACACTGTTCTGCGTTGGCCTGCCCACCTCCCGCTTGGCTGCACGACTGGAGGGCTCCCATGAAGAAGAGAATGGGAGCCACACTTCACCACTCTGCACTCCCCATTCCTCACCAGGGTCAAGATGACCTAATTAACACATATGGATACTTCTAAATTAGTCTGTATCAAGAGCTCAATATGGTGTCAGGAATGTATCAGATGGTGTGTGGCCTATTTACCCTCCTGCAGATGCACAGGCCCAGATATTTACTGATCCAGACTCAAGTGTCCCACATCAATATGCAAATTGCTTGTAATGCATTAGTTTGCAAGAGCTACTGTATGTGATATGATTAATGTTTTGTCTGAGTTATCACCATATTGTATAAGCTAGTTTTAGCCTCATTGAACTGGCTCCCAGTGTGTTATATTGATTTTAAATTATTTTCAATAACCTAAAAGGCACTACTGTACATTAAAGAAGCTGCAGAGTACATTGCTGAACATTAAAAGCCATTTGGTCCCTCAGTCTGCCTGCAATCATCAGACTATGGTGAAATAACTAACCCACTAACTGAACTTAAATCTAAAGGAAACAAACCTTATGGAGCAGCTTGTCATATCACATTTGAATACAAATCACATTTAAAGGTCCAGTATGTGACCTTTAGGAAATGGAATATATTATTAATAGGTATGTTTTCATTAGTGTATAATCACTTAAATAGAGGAATTGTTGTGTTTTCGTTACCTTAGAAGGAGCCTTTTTTATCTATAGATGTTGTGGGTCACCTTCCATGGAGAGTCTGCCATGTTGAACCGCCATGTTTCTACAGTAGCCCAGAACGTACAAACTAAAAACTGGCTGTAGATAGGGCAGTTTTTCACGAGTTTCGCAGCCACTGTAGTTTCACCGACACACTCAACAGCCAGTTCTCATTCCCAGATATATATTATTATTTACAGTATTTTTACATCTTGCAGTAGAGACATGGACAATGTTGTCAGACCAGATGGAGTTTTTATGTGACTCAGTGAGTAAAACAGGTAAAGCCCCCCTTCGGTGACCAGCATGCTTAAAATATATCATGGTGTATCGTCTCTAGGGCTGTGTGTCATTGGAAAGTTTTTTATACACTGATACAATATTTAAATTTCACTACCAATACCCAAACTATACTTTTTTTCAGAAATACAGACTTTACTTTCTATAAAACCATTTTTTTCATTTAAGAAAATAAGCAAAAAAGTTCCCAAGTGTTAAAGGATAATGGTGTGGTTGCAGGTCACAACTCCATTGCTTCACTCTCCCTTTCCAAGTGTAAAGGATAAACTACGGTGGGTGTGAAAGGAACGCCCCTATTTAGAGCCAGAGTTTGGTTTGTCCATTCTGGGCTACTGTAGAAACACAGCGGACACCATGAAAGGCAAGCCGTGGCATCTGTAGATATTAAAGGCTCATTATAAGGTAACAAAAACACAAACTATTCTTATATTCAGGTTATTATACATGAATGAAAACATAATTATGAATATTATATTTCATTTCTGCCAATAAATCCTCCTAAATGTTACACACTGGACCTTTTAAAGGATGTCTAAACACAAGCAACCATACAATAACTTTAATAAGTTGAAGTAAAGCGAACAAGACTATGTACCTCTATAGAGTTACAGGTTTAAATACTTTAATAAAGACACATTTAGTTCTATATACAATATTTAGATACACCATTTAGACACCAAACCCTAACTATAGCTATTCAATGAAAACATAGAACAGTAGCTCCAAAATACGAACTACTCAGGAACTATGAAGAAAAGTTTTTAGATTTCAAACTGTCAACTTTGCTCAGTTTAATGGAGTCAGAGTTACAAACTGGAGCTGTGAGGTTTTGACAGTGATGTGTGTGTGTCATTTTCTGATATGAAAATGTGCCTCCAATATCAGATCAGATCAGTTAGTTCTACGCCAGCCCTCAGATACGGTGTGTTTAATGAGTTCTCTATGACATAGAGAACTACAGTGTATGTTACTGTGAACATTGAGTTCACTAAGTTTAGAGCCAACAGAAATGTTCCAATAGTGCATTGATCACATGAAACATGTTTTTAAATCCAAACGCAATTATTTTTTATCCTGTTTTGTGTTACTTGTTAATAACTCTCTGTGTCTTTGCAATTGCCCCTCTGGGACAAAGTGATTTGAATTTAAATTTTAATTGAATAAGTATTTTAAACTCCCCATCACATTAATTATAACACTGCATAATCAGGTTAAAAAGAGACACTTCCTTCATGCAGCTGCTCGTCTCAATGCCTTAATGTATACTGAATGTATAAAATATGAGGGGCATCTTCTTGACATTGCAGTACTCGCTTTATATACACCATCTCCTTTAAAACTGCTACTTTAATAAAAAAAAAA